CATCCCAGCAACACCCACTCTCATGTAGAATCTCAAAAGACATAAATAATATTTAAAGGCAGGGAACATTGTAGTAACATAGTACTGATGTCATCAGGCAATCAAAACACAGAATCTGTTTAAAGGGACACACACATGTCCTACACAGGCTCATATTACAACAGTGCTAGTATAGGAGCAAGATAATATTTAACAACATATCACAAGTTCTGTTTATAATCTGTTGATAGTGGTGTTACTGCTTTGTTGCCAAAACCACTGACAACTGTGTGAATACAAAGAAAGAATGCATTTGTTATTACTAACCTGTTATAAAAAGGACAGAAGTCACCTCTGGTGTAGCCTGCAAGATAAATAATATGGCATCTCCAAGGACCTTAGAACTGACTCCATCATACTTGAAGACTGGTAGACAGCTCACAACAAAATATGCAGAACCGTGAAAACTCGGCACATTGTGTGAAATTGATGAATTCAAATTTGTATGCACAGAATGCACACACAATCAATAGACCAAACTTTGTAAATCAATAATCAACCAATGTGTTTGGCATTTTTCTTAGGTTGTTTTTGCGTGTTTGTTTGTTTTTCGGGAGGTATAGAAAATGTCAAACAGATCGCAATGTCCTTCATTTTCAGTGCTGAAAATAGTTTTTAATACAATTTTTCTATAATAATAAAGGTAAGGAGAAATATAGTAGAAGTATACAAATTCATAATTTAGTAAAATATACCAAACAAAATAAAAACAGCATTCAACAAAGTATAAGTTACAAGCAAATAATATTGATATTAATGTGAATAATAAATTAGTCCAGATTAGCATGGTGACAGAAAAAACTGTTTAGAACTTAAATAATCTATATTCAAACTAATAATAAAAACGAGAAATAGACATTTTCTGACAATGAGTTCAGACATTTTGCCAAATTTGGTAATATATACCCATAAAATATTGGTTGAAATTGGCTTTATAAAGCTTTCCTAATTGATACATACTACATCTAATTTCCTGGTCTTATCCAGATGTCATTAGTAGAACTATAGAACATGACTACATCTTGATGGATGTTGTTTTAGCACCTGTCGCATTTTGGCACGCGTGTCTGAGATAACATTTGTAGGTAAATATAGTTATGGCAATAATGAAAAAAGAAAAAAAAATATTGTGACTCAATTTTGCCATTAAAGAAAGTATTGTTCGTTTCTACTTCAAATGTCTGGCAACCGATAAGATGACATGACATGGTAGGACCCAATATCTAATTACACAGAATGCTCTGCATTTTAAAAGGACGCAACAAGTTTTTCAGTTCGAGCATTGTCCTCCCCAAATAGTCTATAGTAGTTTGCAGATAAATAAAATCATTTGTGTCTCTCGAGAAGATAACGCATATTTTTTTATAATTCTGTTTCAATAAAAATAGTAATTGGAAATTGCAACATTGTGATGCTGTCTCATTATTTTTGCTAAGTGATTAATTATTTACAGATGTTCACACTGGCGGAGCAGTGGTTAACACTGTGTAATAACTCATGTTTATCCAGGCAATTAATTTTGTTCTCAAATACATTATTGAAGTGATTATACTTATTATAATTAATCGTATTTGTGTTGTGTGGGGGAGGGAATAAAAGAATGAAGCAAACTGTGCCCAAAGTATCTACTATGGAATTTGAGAGTTTTTTATGTGCCAAGGTCAGCTTATGACATACAAGACAAAACGCAAACAAATCAGTGCTTGAATAGAGATATAGATATACAACGATATATATACACACACACGCACATCATACAAGATCCAGCGCACTCACTCATCTAAACTAAAGAGCAATTTCAAGTCTCGCAGAATGTAATGGTTTTCTTAAAAAAACCTCACCTAGGCAAACATAATGGGGGTTTAGTTAAAGTATGTGATCATATAATGCATAAGCCTGCCACAATGGAATATTATTATTATTATTAACATTTATATAGCGACAACGTATTCTGCAACACTTTACAATATTAAAAAAATGGGAAGTTTAACAATAAATTAGACAATTACAAAATGTTACAGGAATAATAGGTTGATGAGGACCCTGATCAAATGAGCTTACAGTCTAGAGGAATATATACCTAGGATCAGGTCTGTAAACTGTATGCAAAGATTCCTTCATCTTAGTCTCTTCCCATCCTTCTTTTCTGAGCACATATGTAAATTCAGAGCTATATCACCCAAGCAATAAGCAAGACAATTATACTCACCCAACCGGTTCTATGTTCCAAAACTATCACATGTAACAAAAATAAACACCTTATAGTGATATCTATTCTAAAAACAAATTTAGGTTCCAGATTAAGGTAAATGCTCACCTTCCTGGAGAATACCTGAGTCGCATTTCAGAATGTATAAAATAAACAATTAAAAAAAAAGAAAAATACAATATAGCATAATACTGATTTTACTAATTGCTCAAATGCTAGAACAAAATCTTTCACTAGAAATAAGATAGTCAATCACAGTACCATATTATAGAACAGGTGTAGGCAACCTTCGTCACTCCAGATGGTATGGCCTACATACAGGGGCGGATTTTCCATAAGGCCGCCAAGGCCACAGCCTTGCGATGGCACACAGAAAAGGGGCGGTTCCCACTGGAACTAAGCACTGTTTGTGGTACAGGAGTGTTCAGACGAGAAGGATAAATAGCTCTTTCCCCTTCTTACATGACATCTGCAGCGGCAGTTCTCTCTCCCACCAAGCAGGCAGTTGAAGGAACTGCAGGAGAGCAAGTGAAGATGACATGAGCTTCATAGACGTGCGATCTCCTGCACCACCGGCTGCAAAAAATGATAAGCTTAGAGTCATGTCTACAAATGCTCGCAGTTTAGGGAATAAGATCCATGAACTTGTGGCAATAATGGCAACTGATAGTGTAGATTTAGTCGCTGTTACTGAGACATGGTACAATGAGAAAAATTACTGGGACATAGCAATACCAGGGTACTCTTTATATAGGAAAGATAGGGAAGGCAAGAAAAGGGGTGGCCTTGTATGTGAAGGATAGCATAAAATCTAGCCTAATAAAAGTTAGTGAGGCAAACATAGAGTCCGTTTGGGCTACGTTAGAATTTGGTAATCACACAGTAACTCGTGTAGGTGTGATTTATAGGCCCCCAGGACAAATTGAAGAGTTAGATAATCTACTAGTTGAGGAAATAGCTAAAATGACAATGAAGGGGGAAGTTATCATCATGGGTGACTTTAATCTTCCTGATGTAAATTGGAAAACAAAATTAGCTACTTGTGCCAGGAGCACACATATTCTAAACTCCCTACTGGGATTGTCTCTAAAACAAGTTGTTGAGGAGCCAACTCGTAAAGAGGCCATACTAGATTTAGTGTTAACAAATGGAGATTTGGTATCAGATATTACTGTAGGTGAAAGTTTAGGATCCAGTGATCATCAGTCAGTGTGGTTTAATATAAGAACAGTGACTGAGTCACACCACACAAAACAAAAGTTTTAGACTTTAGAAAAACAGACTTTTCTAAAATTAGAATATGGGTAGAGGAGTCATTATCAGACTGGAGCAATTTAAATGGAGTCCAAGAAAAATGGGATTATTTAAAAGTTGCACTATTGAAGGCAACAGAAAATTGCATTAGGCTTGTCAGTAAAAGCAAAAAATTCAAGAAACCACTGTGGTACTCCGCAGATGTGGCCAAAATAGTTAAAAACAAAAAGTTAGCATTTAGGAATTATAAAAAAACCCAGAGTGAGGAAGACAAAATGATCTATAAGATTAGGCAGAAAGAGGCTAAGCAAGTTATAAGAGCTTCCAAATCACACACAGAAGAGAAAATAGCACAGTCAGTAAAAAAGGGGGATAAAACATTTTTTAGATACATAAATGAGAAAAGAAAAGTAAAACAAGGATTAGTTAGATTAAAAACAAAAGAAGGAAGGTATGTAGAAGAGGATAAAGGTCAGGCTGACTGCCTCAATGAATATTTTTGTTCTGTATTTACAGAAGAAAATGAAGGAAAGGGACCTCAGTTGAGAAAAAGGATAAATGAGTCATTTATTACACGTGAGTTTACAGAGGAAGAGGTTCTATTTCAACTGTCAAAAGTAAAGACAAATAAGTCAATGGGACCTGATGGAATACACCCAAAGCTATTAAAAGAGCTTAGTGGTGTACTAGCAAAACCATTAACAGATTTATTTAACCAATCATTGTTAACAGGAGTAGTCCCAGAAGATTGGAAGTTAGCGAATGTTGTGCCCATTTACAAGAAAGGTAATAGGGAGGAGTCTGGCAACTATAGGCCAGTAAGCCTTACTTCAGTAGTGGGGAAAGTGATGGAAACCATGTTAAAGGATAGGATTGATGAACATCTAAAACACATGGATTTCAAGATCAGAGACAACATGGGTTTACTTCAGGGAGATCATGCCAAACTAATCTTATTGATTTTTTGATTGGGTAACTAAAATTATAGATCAGGGTGGTGCAGTAGACATTGCTTACCTAGATTTCAGTAAGGCTTTTGACACTGTTGCACATAGAAGGCTTATCAATAAACTGCAATCTTTAAGTTTGGATTCCAATATTGTTGAATGGGTAAGGCAGTGGCTGAGTGACAGGCAACAGAGGGTTGTAGTTAATGGAATATATTCGAAGCTTGGACTTGTCACCAGTGGGGTACCTCAGGGATCTGTACTTGGACCCATTCTCTTTAATATTTTTATTAGTGATATTGCAGAAGGTCTTGATGGTAAGGTATGTCTTTTTGCTGATGATACTAAGATATGTAACAGGGTTGATGTTCCAGGAGGGATAAGCCAAATGGCAAATGATTTAGGTAAACTAGAAAAATGGTCAGAATTGTGGCAACTGACATTTAATGTGGATAAGTGCAAGATAATGCATCTTGGACGTAAAAACCCAAGGGCAGAGTACAGAATATTTGATAGAGTCCTAACCTCAACATATGAGGAAAGGGATTTAGGGGTGATTATTTCTGATGACTTAAAGGTAGGCAGACAATGTAATAGAGCAGCAGGAAATGCTAGCAGAATGCTTGGTTGTATAGGGAGAGGTATTAGCAGTAGAAAGAGGGAAGTGCTCATGCCATTGTACAGAACACTGGTGAGACCTCACTTGGAGTATTTTACACAGTACTGGAGACCGTATCTTCAGAAGGATATTGATACCTTAGAGAGGGTTCAGAGAAGGGCTACTAAACTGGTTCATGGATTGCGGGATAAAACTTACCAGGAAAGGTTAAAGGATCTTAACATGTATAGCTTGGAGGAAAGACGAGACAGGGGGGATATGATAGAAACATTTAAATATATAAAGGGAATCAACACAGTAAAGGAGGAGACTATATTTAAAAGAAGAAAAACTACCACAACAAGAGGACATAGTCTTAAATTAGAGGGACAAAGGTTTAAAAATAATATCAGGAAGTATTACTTTACTGAGAGGGTAGTGGATGCATGGAATAGCCTTCCAGCTGAAGTGGTAGAGGTTAACACAGTAAAGGAGTTTAAGCATGCGTGGGATAGGCATAAGGCTATCCTAACTATAAGATAAGACTAGGGACTAATGAAAGTATTTAGAAAATTGGGCAGACTAGATGGGCCGAATGGTTCTTATCTGCCGTCACATTCTATGTTTCTATGTTTCTATGCCTGAAGTTACAGGAGAACAAGTGAGTGACTGGGAGAGGGCACAGAAGAGTATAAGCAAGCAAAGGGGAGTAAGGGGTGGATGATGGAAAAATAGAATAGTAATTTGTGAGGCAGGGGAACAGAATTGCAGAATAGGTTATTGAAAATGGGAGCGAAGAGGGGAACAAGTAAGGAAAAGGGGGAAAGAAGGGAACAAGTGAGGGGTGGGAATAAAGAAGAGTCATACAAGTAAGAGAAGGGGGTAAAGAAGATGGATACATGTGAGGGAGGAAGGGGAACAAGAAGAATGATACATGATAGGGATGAGGAAAAGAAGAGGGAATGAGTGAGAAACAGGGGAAAGAATAGGGATACGAGTGAGGGATGGGGACGAGGAGAGAGGAACAAATGAAGCAAGAGAGGAAAATGGACAATAGGGCTTATTTGGGGAAAGGGGGAGAGGAACAGATGTTAGGGAGAAAGAAATGAATAGAGGTGATGGAGAAAGATAAAGACATTTCTGCTCACCCATATGTGAGTATTATACCTTTTTTGCACCTACTCTTTACTGCTGTATATAGAGAGCACTATTTGTTTTTATTTCTTTCCCTATACTAAGGACCTGCACCACCTACCAACACCTAATCCTACCAGTGGGGAATCAACGCCACTGAATGCTATTCATTCCTGAGCTGGCCAAAGCTCTACAATAGGTGAGTAGGAGGACTACTATTACCATTACCTTCGTCTTTCCACTGCAGTTTTACACAATTGGAATTTCTGTCTTTTATCTGCATGTTTCCACATTATCTGGATACCTGACTTCCTCGGATCCTACAAGGCCCACCGATTTTATCTATCCCTTCATTTAAACTTGGACTATTGTTTTCCACATACTTTTTATCTGGACTTTATTCAATTTTTATTCATTTTTATATAAGTACGCATTGTTTTTATTATTTAATATCACACCTTGGAGTGACCTATATTCAGTTTTTGTCTTTTCATCTTTGGGCTTGTTTCTTTCCAACCATTACTTTTTTATATTATTTAGGGAATCACTTATATTATTTTATTTCAAATTCATAAAAATTATGATATTCCTAATAAAAAAAATGTGCTTATAATTTATTAATTAATTATATTCATTAAAAATTATAAATAAGAAACCCAAACGAGCAAAAATAAATTATTAATATTAATAATTAAAACCTGTTTTTAAAAATTACATAATTTGAAGATTTATCTTGTAAGGTATAAGAGTTTTTAAATTAAAAATGTATTCAGTTTCAATCTATCTATGAGACAATTAAAATCCCCTCCTTTCCAATCCTTTTGCACTTTTTTTCTAGAGATGTGGTCCACAACATTTGGAGTGAAGAAGGTTGTATACCCTTTTTATAAACCTTAGGACATAAATTGTAAGCTAACCACAATTAAGGTAAATTCAGTCTCTGAAGACCACTGACAGGTTTATGAGATTTTGTCCTACTTTTCCTGCTTCAGAGATTTGAGACATTAACTGGGCCAGGTGCCCAAAGCAAAACAGCCCAAAGCCTGATTAAAAAATTAGACATGATGCGGAGTGCTTAGCCATCCGAGCAACAGGTTTGTTTACTGATAGGACTATGCCATTCTATAAAACTTCACAGATATGTATGAGCTGTTATATATGTTATGTATGTATATATTTTAGAAAAGGCTTAACATATTTTTTTTTATTTTTTTTAAACACACAGACCATGGCCCCAAATGGCCGTTAAAACAGGATACGTTTATGTTCACGTAATACTTTCTTCCCACTGAGCCAGAGAGCAAATGGCCTTGGTAACAATAGAGATCTGTCATTTATGTAGCAATGCTCAACCTTAACTCAATATTTGTTAAATAAACATTGTTTCTGTCAGTTAGCAAGGTCATCGATAGGTAACTCAATGCACAAGGGAATCTACATAGACTTGTCAAGGTGTTCCAGAGAGAAGGCAAACGCGAGACATAGCTATACGTCAAAGTATATTCTAAAGGAACACTCTGGGCATCATATCAACATCATTGGAATTAAGTTGTAAGGAGGTTAACGAACAGTTTAATATGAAAGTCTTATTCCGGCGCCGCTCAGTTCTGCACCCTCAACATCTGCTTGATTCCGAAAATTATAATCGGAAGCCTTGGACTAGTCACCACTCATAGGCTGAGAGCATCAGCCAAGGATCTCAGCCTATCAGTATCTGCCTATTTACCAAATGGCTTAAGAAGCACACATATTTTTGTGCTCATCGAATGAAATTATGTCAACATAACATATATTTTTTCCTATAGGATGTTTTGAGAGTTTGCAGATTTTTAACTTTACTTTTTCTCTTTAGACATAGCGGGGGGAGGTTCTTGGTTTGGAGATATAGGAGCAGCAGACAAATGTATCGTGCTTGGTAATGTCTCGTCAAGATGTACTTAATATTTCCTATTATTCTCCTAATATGTGAGCTGTTAAAACTCTTGTCAGACATAAGTTACCAGCCCATGTTGTAAGATTTTCTAATGTAATAGCAGCTACTAGTCACCAAAGTTTGTGACAATCTTAGCAATCAGAGGCTTGTCAGAAAAACTTGTCAAAAACAGACGAAACAAGTCATTTGACCATCCTCATTGGCCCACTTCCTATATCATGGACTTATTCACTAAAGTGTGAATTTTCAGGGACTTAAAGTGAATTCTCAAGTTTGAGAATGTTTAAATGTCAGCTATTTTTTCAAAATTTTGCAACTAGGTTTTCAATTCACTGCAAATCCATTTTTAAACTCCAAAGGGAATTTAAAACTTTAGCCAATTTGGAAAACTTTGCATTTGAATTCCTTGCAATTCACTCATTAGTGAATAACCCAGTTGAAGTACACCTTTTATTATTGAATGTATTACCTATCCTTAACTTTTTTTAAAACTGTATTACTGTTTTAGTTTCTGCCAGCGTGTCTATATTGTTTTTTATGTAACATCATGTCACAGTTAATCTATTATGTCATACCATTTGAAAGGGTCAATAGGTTGGTGAAGCTTTCGTATATATTTTTATAATAGACTCTACCAACTCTCCTGGGAAGTCACTGTATGCATTCACACCTTTATCTGGGATTTCACGTGTGATATTTCTTTTTCTTACAAAATGTATAATACAAAAATATATCAAATAGATACATATAAGCCAGCATACGTGCAGTTGTGCTCTAAAGTTTGCATACCCTTGGAGAATTGGAATATATATATATATATATATATGAACCTTCATCTTTTACTGCTTTAACCACTGGAGGGTCACCTTGGCCTTGTTCTTAGGGTCATTGTCATGCTGAAATGTCCAAGAGCGTCCCATGCGCAGCCTTCGCCCAGGAGAATGCAAATTTTCTGTGTGTTTCACCTTGTGTATCTTTAACAAGGCCAAACCTTTAAGGGTATGTAAACTTTAGATCAAGGCCATTTGGGTGATTTCTGTTATCATTATGATTTAAAAAGAAGCCACACAACTATGTGATAATAAATGGCTTCATATGATAAAATATATCAGTCATGTTTTCAAAATCTCACAATTTCTGCCAGGGTATGCAAACTTTTGAGCACAACTATACATGTAAAAAACTGTTTAAAGTTATTCAGGGCTCTTTAGAAACATTTAACATCAAAAAGTATGTTGCTTTGATCACATCACAATTCTATAGATTGTAATGCTGTCAACTACGCCTATGCCCCACGTTATCAATGGATGCCTAATTTAAATATTGCGATAAATAGTGAATGCAGAAATTCTAATGTCTGGCCAGTGTTATATATTTTGTAGACCAGAGTCAAAATTATGAAAGAAATACAAGTTTGCTATTGCCACATAATTTCTTTGGATTGACTTTCTTGATATAAATTTACCATGTCTCAGATCTTTGAAACCAGGGATGGACAGCGGGTGAGCCTCCAGCTGTTGTAAAAATACAGATTTTAAAATGAACTGATGGACTGGCTACTTTTTTTGTTACTCCAAACATCCAGTGAATTTGAATCAATAAACTTCAATAGAACATGCAGAGTCAATAGAGATGATGTTTGTATTCTAGTCTTCCTCGAAAGAAAGGGGTTAATAAGGCAAAACGATGAACTAACCCATAAGGAAGCAAAGTGCAGACTCTTTCATTTTGCCTCATTGGTTTCCATGGCGATTGCTGAAGGTTAAATCATTGTTTATACAAAGCACAATCCACAATTAATTTTCAGTAGTCACTAGATTGCAGATTTTTCCATAAAATCTACATGATATTCGGTACTGAACTGATACTGTATCCATATCTGCTAATATAGTTAAATGGTGCTGGACATCTCACTGTAACTGTTATTATATTTGTAATAGTGTCAATAGTACCATTTTTTGCAAATGCCCATAACATGTAAGTTGTTGGCTGTAATTATTGGAGTTTGGTTGGCTGGTAAAAATATATTTTTTGCTATAAAATGTTTGCAAATGAAATGCATTGCCGTGAAATTCATGTTCCAACATTTAAACGTTAAAATTGCTACTTTTAATCAAACTCTTAGGCTAAAATCCAGTAA